TAACATACTTGTGTCATGGTCATTGAAGTTTCTTTGGTTTGGTTTGGTTTTGGGTGTTTTTTTTCTTTTGTTTGGTTTTGTTTTTGTTTTTTTAGAGACAGAGTCTCCCTCTGTCACCCAGGCTGGAGTGCAGTGGCCTAATCATAGCTCACTGTAACCTTGGACTCCTGTGCTCAAGCAGTGCTCCTGCCTTAGCCTTCAGAATAGCTGGGACTACAGGTGTGTGCCACCATGCACTGCTAGTTTTTAATTTTTTTTTTTTTGAGACAGGGTCTCACTATGTTGCCCAGGCTAGTGCTAGGATTACAGGTGTGAGCCACCACATTTGGCATCGAAGTAGTTAACTTATTTAGTTCTGGAATCAACGTGCCACATTTTAGCTGTATGTATTCTTTGTTCTTGATGGTTCTATCACTCCTCTGACTTTTGCTAGGGCTACTCTTCAGAATCTTACTCACATACATGTTCATGGGCACAACTATGAAAATGACTCTTTAGAAATGTATACTATGTAAATATCTAAAATGTACCCATGAAACTTACGTAATTTCTATAAGCCATTATAGTCTGAATTGTCATTTTTTTGGAAAAGATTGAAATCCAAATTCATGAAATTTGAAATTCTAATCTCTGGCTTGCCCATTACAGTATACAGATACATTTATAATTTATTAGAGAATTATTTGGGTAACTAATCCATATAAAGGAGTCTAAAATATAATATGAAGCTGATTCATCAACAAGTTACTATGAAGGACTTACAGTGTGAGGATTTTTATTGGTAGAATCAGGTATTTTTATAAATCACAACATGAGAGTTGGCCAAATGCATGAGGTTTGTGAAGGACAGTATTTCTCCTGCTTATTTTGTAGACTTTTGTTTCAATCTTCTTTTGTTTGTTTTCAGTGTGCTCAATCATCAAGAAGAACGAACTTGACAAATTCTCTTGAACAAAAGATAAGGTGCTTGGAAAAACAGAGAAAAGAGGTAATTTAGAAATATTAGTTGAAGCCACATGTGTTGTGGATTAATGCTCAGAATAAAATAGTGTATCACCTCGTGCTTTTTATTTTTATCAGATCACAGTATTTATCTCTAGGATACTAGACGGCACGTTTTGAAAACAAGTGCTTTTTTCTTATTCATCCATATATCTTGTATTCAGTCTCTCAGTGTTTGTGCAATGATGAATGAGAAATAACAAAGTCATAAATCTGGTAATTATAATACTAATTTTCTGAAAACTTAGATCTTTCTTTCACATGGACCACGTGAGCTTATCACCTGTACCCTTTATGCCTTGCA